TCTTGTTTTGTACTTTCTAAATAAATTGAATGTTTTCTCAAATAGCCTTCTTCAAACATTTTATATTTAACTGTTTTAGCAGCAGAATTTCCATTCATTTTGGATTTCTTTTAGGTTCGAATCCCGCGATGCTGGTTGCATGGGCGTTTTCGTGGTTTTCCCCATTTGTAATGTGTGTATCAGCCAGTTTCTCTAAGAATGTCCTCCATGAAGGCACCCCTTCCCTTAGGTGTATAGCCCTCGAGAGCTTTCTCGTAACGAAATAAACCAAACCAAATCATTTGGGATTTCTGGTTACTCACGGCTTCACTCATTGCACTTGTCCTGTATCCTATCCAATGTTACTACCTACTACTAAATGCCCATACAAATACTACTTAATGTGTCCAGTTTGAACAGATTTATGAGTGCTGGTGTATGTAAAATTCTCAAAATCTATTGAAACTGTTATCAGTTTTGTGGAGACAATTAAAACAAACATCCGTGCCTAATTAAAACGAATTGTTACTGGAAATATCAAATGATTGTTGAAACGTTTTTATAAAATATGCTTGAAAATATTAATTTTTTTCGTGTTTCAAATAGGCTGGAATATTTAGGAAAAGGATATAATAGATGCTGATGAAAATATCGGATCTCTTTCACGCATTGCTGTTCAAAGTATTTTCATATTGTTCTTTCTCGCATATCCATCAATGGCCCTGTAGATAAAACAGTTAGATAACAATAATTCTTACCGAGCTCACTTCCAAAAACTAAAAAGTTTTGGTTTATTGTAATTAAAGCAAAGCACGTGAGGATCACTGCCTTAAGGAAAACAATTACTTCTGGAGGACATTTAATGAGAAACTGGCTGATATTCTCGTTTTAGATGAGGGGAACTATCGAAAACTCTCATGTAGTCAGTTCTTCCGCTGGGATTTGAAACCAGGTCAAACCACCAGTGTTTAGTGTTTAGTTCGCTATGGCAGCATTCTTTGTTTTGTGTATACAGGAGATTCAGCAATCCGGTTACAAACTTTTAGGAGAGATATAGTACAGCTGGACGATGGAAGATCACATGGCAATGCATGGTCGGAAACGCTTTCCTGGCGCGGTAGTGACGACACAAAACACAAGAAAGGAAGGACACGAGCAGGGTGAGAAAACATATTTATTATGCTTAGTACAGCAGAAGCCAAGAAATGAAAACAAAAACCGACAACAATTGTCATCAAAGAAAGAATTAAATTTTATGACATCGAAATTACGATTCCGGACCATGGTTCAGGCCTCACATCTCCAGCGCATAGAAGATTTAATGTTCCGGACTTCATCAGAAGCTGCCACAATGCGTGCAAAAAATTCCTGAGCTATGTTAACAGGGGTGTCGTAAGCCAGTGTCTTAACGTACTCCCCAGAAACAGTAGTCAACGCAAATGAGGTGTAGCGATCTTGCTGGCCAATGCACCAAGGCACCCTTACCGTTCAAATGTTAAGGATAAGTTGCATTCAGGTGGAGACGTACATCAAGGCTGTTAATGTATGCAAAAATTTAACATTCCTAACATTTTAGTTGCACTGAGCATAATAAACATGTTTTCTCACGCTTTTCATGTCAATCCTTTCTTGTGTGCCAGTATCGCACCAGGAAAGGGTTTCTGACCACGCATTGCTGGGCGACTTTCCATTGTGTAGGTGTACTCTATCTTTCCGGAAAATTTGTAATCGAATTGCTGAAGCACCCTGTATAAATTTTGAATGTAATCCAATTTCCTTAGATAGTTTTCTGCAACGAAACTCGCCTTTCGAGAGATCGCTCTTATAATTAGGGTTGCAGCGATAAACAAGGCATTTCATTTTCTCATAGTCGGATAATCGATTTACAAATTAACTCCGAAAAGTTAATTCCTTTCATTAAAATGTATTCTTTCTGACAGTAAGAAGTTAGTAATTTTTATTGCTTTCTATCTTCATTACAAAACTACCAGAGGCCGAATGTATATAAGCAATGGATTTTATCTCGAATTAGCTTTCAAAAGCTGAACGGGTTGACTGCATAAGATTTTTCCTATGTGCGTATTTTCCTAAGTGCGGGTAAATTTTCTTATGGAAGATCTTCATGAAGACAGCCATCGTAGACAAATATGCCACAAGTACTTATCATAAAAAAAAACCCTGAGTGCTCGTTACTATAATCCAGTTTTCTTTTACTTTACAGTGTTGAGCGATTGGAAGTAATGGTAAATTAGCCGAGGGATAAGAGTTTTCGTTTTGATTCGTTTCTTGATGGCTTGTGAGGAAGTTCTGTTGGTTATCCCCATTTTTTGTGCATCATTAAATATAGGGAGATTTTTCTTATCAAAGTCCTCGGCCAATTTAGTTGCCAAAGAACAGTAACTGTCATGTGTTCGCCGTTAAATTAGTCTCTTAAAAATACTCTAACAAATGCCTCAGATCTGGAGATTTAGGGAAAAAAAAATTCTGTACCAGAAGATCACAGTTCAAACACCTATATATCAAAGGATTTTAATAAATTTTCTTATTCAATACTAGCTGTGTTCTGTGTATATGCAAATATGTCTTTTTATGTGCAATCACGTGAGCAGATATAAGAAAGACTTGATATTTCGAATTCATTTGCGCAGAATATGAGGAATTTCTTTTCTTTTTTCTTTTAAGAGATAAATATTCTTTAGATCATCCTCAGCCTAGATACCGTCGAGAAAATAATACCGTCTTTCCTTTGTAATGATGGCTCACCAGTGGCTGAGCAGTAAAGTCGCTAACAATCGTAGTTCGACATAGAAAGCAATTCCAGGTGAATGGGTTAGTTGTATGGGCGGTTTTTTTTTTTTTTTTTTTTCTTCCCATAGTTTTTCCCAATGTGTAACGTGGATGCGTGGGTTTCTCATAGAAAATCCTTCACAATGGCAACCTATCCTTTAGGCAGATAGACTTCACGCGCTCTGCCATAACCAAATAAAACCAAACTAGACTTTATTATTATTATTTACGTGTTCTGCCTTAAGGAGCCACACGGAAGGTAGGGATGCCTTCGTGGGGTACTTTTTAATGGAAACTGGCCTATATTAATACGTTACACATGGGAAAAACCACGAAAACGCGGATTTGAATTTCCCATTTGCGGGATTTGAACCTTGGACCGAACTACCAGTGTTTAGGGCCCTTATCGCTCGGCGGCTTGTGAGCCAAACCAGACCTTTGTAATGATATTTGTGCTTATATAAGCACCGCATGGTCTTGTACGGATAAGTATTCGTGTAAAACGATCCTTCCTGAGATTTTAATTCAGCTTACTTGAGGCTATTTTTCTGGATATAGTCACAGCACATTTCTTTTTTCCACACAAATGACGTCTGGTTTGATCTTGGATCAAACTCATATTTCATACGTTTAATAGTGTCATTTTTAGGCTTTACTAGAATTCTAAAGCTGTTTAATCATCCCTTGCTTTTTTCCCTGGCAATCCTCGGACAGTTTTTACAGACATATGATGATAAACTGCAGCACAAGTTGCTATCAGTGTGCAGAATTACGTATAAATTTACTGTAACATGTAAGTACAATAAAATAATTTTTGTATTACCATTTGAAATTTTACACTAGTACTTCGATTAATCATCAACATCGAGATCGTCGTCGTAATAACAGACGGATAACAGCAACTCTCTCCATCACCATCATCGGATACGGAGGTCGATGACGAAGATCTGATTTTAACATGATGCATTAAAGTCGAAAAGGAAATTTTCGAATTTTTTTATTCCTTTTACTCCTTGTGTTCTGCATTATGTCTCTCGAATTGTGTCAATGATTAATGATTAAAAAAGTGACAGATAATAAAATTTACCTTGTACATATCATTAATACTTCAGAAAGTAAACTTAATTACTCAGCGCATTACTTTCAAGCCAGTATTGATAATAATCAGACAGATAAATTTAGTAATACCAAGCTTTTATAAAACATAATTTTTTTAAGAAATAGTGGGAGCCTATTATCCGTTGTGCGGTAAAACCGCTGAACACTGGTACTTTGATCCGGGTTTAAATCCCGGCGAACCAGCTGGTAACATGGGAATTTTCATGGTTTCCCCTTGTGTAACGTTAATATGATTCAGTTTTTCTTAGAAGTCCGCTACAAAAGCATTTTTTCCATTAGACAGATAACCTTAAAGAGCATTGCCATAATACAAGTAATTCCCTCGTAATGCATAGTGCATCGAAGTTGCTATGTTATATTTAAGTGCCAAAAAATGTACAGTAAAAATGAAAAGATTAAGCATTTTGACTGCAAATTATATAAAGGAAAGGGGCACTTAATTTTTAATTTCCTGAATTCCAATTTTAGTGAATAGTGCATCAAAACTTCTATGCTATATTTAATTGCTGAGAAGTATAAGCAAAGTACTGGAAGATTAAACATTTTTACCACGAAAGGAAGGAGTAGTTTGATTCTTAAATTTCCTGTATTCTCTTCCTATTGACTTAACTACTTACATTTATACAATATCGAGCGCATGCACTAAATGTGACATTATTTAACAATGACAATAAGCTAGGATCACTTTTATCATTTCATAACTCAGAAGTTATAGTTGAAATTCGTAAAAATAGATAAGAAATTGATCTTTTTCTACCAAACGCGTTAAAAATTGTTATTTTTTTATATATATTTTAAATTCAGAGTTAATAATTGATTTTATCAAAGTGGAAAATCAGAAATCAGTTTTGATAATACCAAATGTACTCAAATTTTCTTAAATCTGTAGACTGGAGCTTTTATTCTTCATGAGTCATGTGAAAGAGAGGTACCGAAGAAAAAAATAAAATTAGACCAAAAGAGAAAGTACTTTTTTCTTCTTCCCTAAGAGTGATCAGAGGATTTGTGATAAAAGGATTGGAGACGCCAGAGGTGCGCGTGGGGCCCAGAAAATGATGGCGGAAGTTTTGTGAAAAGAATAAAAAAAATAGTCATTAAAAAATGCCGGTGGCCTAGTTGCGTAAAGATGCTCGCCAAGGCGGCCGCCAAGAGGAGCATTCCGCCGCCGATATAAGCAATGGCCGTGCTAAGGCTTCGTTTAGTTTGTGCTCAAGTCGGCAAAGGATTCTCACAGGTAGGGAGTGATTTAATACGTGGTTTATAAATTAATGTATCAGTGTATAATTCGTCTGTGTGTATCAAACCTATTTAATAATTCATTCTTGAGATGACTACAGGAATTTGATTAAAAATGCACATTTGTTGTGAGATGTGATTTAATGAATTACTAAACATGTATAGTCTGAGTTTAATTTCAATAAGCATGGATTTGATACAAGACCAATTGTTTGCTACTCATAGATAAAGATTAATTAAATAAATTTTTAATATTTCATTTAATATTTAAGTAATATACCGTTACTTTCAAAATATTACGTGTTGTGTAAAAGTGTACTGCATTATTTCAGCAGATAAGATTCTAAACTATTAATGCGTTGAAATGTTTTTGAGATTTATTTATCTATAAATTATTTTCATTTCAATGAAAAGTAATTTATGCAATGTATATGTTTTAAATATTTGCTTTCTCAGAAGCTTGCTTCAAAATTCTCAGTTTTAAAAATCGTCCAATTAAATTAATTGGTGAAATTAAGACAATTTCTAAATCGTTTCACAACTTATTATTAAATATCCCTTATGCAGCAGTTGATATTTTTTGGTGTGTATTTAGTTCACTGCTCTTTATGACATGTCACAAAAAAATTTAGGATGTCTCTAAATTATTACTTCGTAGATAGTTTTAATTGCATTTTAAACGATTTTACATGTTCCGGAAACGTAAACTGGACTTTCTAGAGTATTAGTGTGTAATCTGTTAACGACTAGGAGTGCTACTGCGATGTCAACAAAAATTATTGTAGGAATAGATACATTTTAACTGTAAATTAAAGGAAATCTTTCTTTTGCCTCGGTTCCTAATACATGATGTGAGAAATACTTTGAATTACACTAACTGCTTGAATGCCAGTAATATAGTTATCGAAAATTATAAAAATCGCTTTATTGCATCTTTGATAAGCAGCGTCTTGCTATAATCTGAAACGTAGAGATCTTATAACCTGTGCCTTAACGTTTCGCTAAGTCGCATGGAAGAATAATGAAGTTAGGCTAAGAGTACACAACAGCGATGGGGTAACGTAACGTCAAATGTCTCATTTCGAAAGTGGAAAATCAAATTTGCAAAGGTTTCTAATGCGAGTTTTAAAGGAATGTGAATAATTTCCATGTTTCCTCTAATTGTGATTATCAGTGCAATCATTTTGAATAGTTTCCTTATACGCATTACAGCTGTAAACTAATTAAGTTGCATAATATTTTGTAATGTAGTAACTTTAGAAATCTTGCAAAAGTGTACTTTTTGCGTGTTTGGAAGTTCTGTAAAGTGAAACATGGATGAATTTAATTCTACATATATGCTTCATGAATCGTGTAAGTATACTATATATCTATTTTAAAGTAATCTAAAATAATAGCGAAGACATGAAAGAAATATTGCTAATATTTCGGTTTTACCTTTTGGTAAACCCACGTGTTTGGCGCTGTACGTGCTTTGCTTTATTCATTTCCTCTCAACAACTACCGATAAAAAAGCCTCAGTTTTATTTCTTCTAGAAAATTCTACGATAATCATCTCGTAATCCTGTTGCGTAAGTAATTTGTATCATTAATACTTGTTGACCCTGTACTATAAACTACCAACTCATCCGTAGTCAATAATGGACCTTTTCGAACTTCCTTATGAAAGTAATTTACAAAATTTGTTTGAAGAAATCTGTTGTTAATACGCCAAGATGCTGAATAAAAATGTGTTCTCAAATAGTTATTTTATTTACGTAAAGTAGCTAATTGAAAACACTCAAGTCTTTAAAGTAAATTTTAGCTATTGATGCAAAGACACATTTATTAATCTAAGTAAGCAAGTTACCAAAGTATTTTGTCATCTTTACCATCATCTGCAAAAATATACATTTAAAAGTTTGCAATAGCAAAATACCAATTCAACAAAAATAAACAGATCGCGATCGATATTATTCAAAAATCCAAACTTGGCCAATACATGAAAGCGTATTTTCTGAACTGAATTTTAATGTGTGAACAATATTAGAAATAAAATATCACGTCTCACTAAAATAGGCTTTATTACTGCTGACTCGAATTTAAGGAAGAGAATTTAATGCAAATAACAGTTCGTGTTGAAGCATATTTCAAGTTCGATAAAAATTTAATAACATGTTGATGACTGTCTAGATAATCCCGTTTTCTTAAAATGCCCATTTGAAAACCATATCGTTCTGTACTTCGAAAGCCTATTAATTTCAACTGGGGTTACGAAACTTTCATGTGTAACTGACTTGCACGGTTTTTGTGGACCCACAAGTTGTACTTTTTACGAAGGTGTTTCAGATATTAATCACTTATTCAGAGAAATCTTTAAAACTTTCCTTTACAGGTAAAATATTTTTATATATGATATTTTCACTAGAAGTGATGAATATTTCCCAGGTAAATGCGGTTCAGGCAAAACGTGATGTGTGGGTCCTAAGGCTCCTTGTCCAGTTAAATGTTAAGATAATTTATAAAACATCTTCCAAGTGAAAACATTCTTTTGGTATTACCGCATGGTATGCTACAGATATATTTTCAGCTTTGTTCTTGAGTATTTAAATATGTTAGTCCTATATTTGAGGTCATCTTGGTTATTACAAACCCTCTGCTGCGCTTTTAAAACACGTTTATAAAATGCAGGATCTCAAGTTTTGAGGTCTTATATTCTGGCCAATATGTGAAATTCTGTACGTGGAATAATTTTTGTTTTTTAAGACTTGCGTATGCTGAAGCCATATTTACTGAAAATTAAGGAAGGTCAAATAAATTGCAGTAAAAATTTAGGCGAATTGCAAATATTGATTTAAGATTTTTAAATTAGTAAAGCGAGGTAAGACGAATTTCTTGTAACTATTATACTAAGACTAAAGTTGGCAAATTTAGTTTTGATATTTATAATAGTTTAAGTTATAGAATTATAGGTGAAAGCAAAATGTTATGAAATATAAGGAATCAAAAAGATACTGAGCGTGAATAATGAACATCTCATGAATATCTCCCGATTCCTGTTCAGATTTACCTGAAACATTCGAATGAAGTAAATTTATTACACGAAATGCTTGAATGCGCTTCGGGGGTTTGGAAAGCTAATACTCTAATTCTTTTCCCTCCTGAACTGAATTCTGTTTCCTGCAGAATGAGTTAATTTTTCATTAGTTTGACTAATGTTCTTTAAGTGACTAAGCTTGCCGATATCTTCCGGTGCCGCATTAGAGTAGAACTTCTTTCTCGATACGGATCGGTACTTGGCTTAAGGCTGTTCTGTTTATCTAAATGAAAAAAACAAAACCCATTTCCAGTCTTCTGAAGCACTTTCACTTCAGAACTTGTTATAGAAGTCTTAAACGAAGGTTTCGTCAAAAATGTTTAGGAAGATCTTCAGTTCCTGTTAGCCTTGTCTACATAAATTTTTGAACAGTTTACGTTCACAGTCTTTCTTGCAAGCTGAAATTAAACTATAACCGTAGTTGTTCATTTTTACCAGTCCCTCAAGCGGCCGAGTGGTAAAGACGCTGAACACTACTAGTTCGGTCCGAGGTTCGAATCAGGCGAACGGGATGGCTGCATGGGCGTTTTCGTGGTTTTCCCAATGTGTAATGTGTATACGAGCCATTTCCCTTAGAAAGTCCTCCACGAAGGCATCCCTCCCTTTAAACAGATAGCCGTCGTGTTCTTTGCCATAAATGAATAATCCAATCCATTTTTACCAAGGATTCACTTTGAAGTTCTTGCTACCTAACATTAAAAAATATTTGATATTCTGCCGGGCTGTATATTTAAGAAAAATTCGTTTCTGAATGGAAAGAGAAGTAAAAAAAAATATATGATAAGTGTTTTGACGATGTGGAAGCTTATCATATCCCCTGATCGTGCAACTTATGCCTAACAATTCGCATTTTCACGGACGAAGTGCAACAGCATTTCCAGCTGTTACGGTAGGGATACTACCAGAGACTTCGAGTATCAAATTTTGCCGAATGAAATTTTTGTCTGGAGAATATCAAGTATTTCAGCAGCTTCATAATATTCAGGAGTATTTGATAGTTAGATTAAGCACTCATAAAGCATACATGAAATTTTCATCGCAATTTAAACTACCTGCGTAAAGGCAGGCATGAAATTTTCACGATATCAAGTAATAATAAAGTAACATCATATAATAATCACCATACAGCGCTTTATAAAGCTATATGCATGCAATTAATATAAATATTCGCGTATTTTGGATAAATTATATGGAATGTAAGACTACGATTATTTCGAAAATATTCCTTGGCTCTTTTTTCTCTTGTAAGAAAATCCACGAAGGCATCTCTCCCTTAAGGCAGATAGCCCTCGAGTGCTTTGCCGTTATCTAATAAAACCAAACCAAACCTCTTGTAAGAAAAGTCACCAATGCAATTTACACAAATGTTACTTTGATACATAATATAAAATTATCTCTTTCGGGTGAGATTCTATATTCGCATATTTCTTCTGGAAAAAATAAAATGATCATTACCATTATATGTTTTACTCTGAAATGTTATTATAACAATAAAATCTTAATAAATCTTTATTATATAATAATAAAATATAACATGTTTTCTAATAAAACTGTTAAGCGCTTGATTTGTGGGTAGTTATTATTAGATGACCGGCTTGAATGAAAATGGAATAGCGATATTTTTTAGATTATGTTACTGATTACGGAATGGACTTCATTGCCTCGGTGTTTTCGTCATTTTTTTATGTAGCATAAATATTCCATCATTCTTAAATTTCCAAGAATGGTATACTGCCTGCACAGGCAGTGTTAGAATTCTTCCACGTGAAGCAGCCAGTTAGGGTATTAACCTTCATAAAAGTTAATGAAGTCAACGAGGTTAAGTAATGAAATAATATTAAACGGAAAGAGAATTAAACTTTCAACCGAAAAAGAAGAGTCACTTTTCAACTCCGAAGTTCCACAAACTAATATTTTGCGTA